GGGGGGGGGGGGGAAGCGGACATGTAAACGTTGTCATGTGCTTGGCACACTTCTTGTGTTTGCTTCAAGGAGATATATGGAGCACAAGTGCGAAGCCTTCAAAGGGTTCCTTTCTCGTCGGTAGGAATCGAGGTCGCTGTCTACTAAGGAAGTCGCGATCTGGATGAAACGGCTGTCCTCGGCCTTCGGTTCCACTTCATTACATGCAACTGGGCATACAAGGGCGCCTTGCGTGCACGTTTCATCCTTGTTGCGCTATCGCATGGGTGACATGCATCAGATCCGTTTAACTTTAAAACTGATTCGTTTTCATAATGGACGTCTATGGAAATAGGTTTATCTCGGTTAAACTGATTCCCATAGGGCAGTGCTTCTTAACCTTTTTTTTTTACTTCACGGCACACTTTTGAGTTAGCACGATCTTCGCGGCATACCGAACCAATTTTCACAATGTCAATGTGTATAATATTTTCATCACCCACTAGTCAATTCGACCGACGTTCGTCGGTCGTAGCTTGAGAATAATAAAACACAGTGGGGTAATTCCACGCTAGGGTCAACCATGAGGCCAAAATAAAAACTACGCAAATATTGCATACTATGAGCATACACTCAAATATATATATCAGCGGCATATAATAGAACGATCAGTGTTAAGATAGTCACGCCCTTTCCGAACCTAGACAGCGTCCTATCAAGAAGGCAAAATATCTATGAGAAGGAGATGGACTTGGGGTAAGAAAAAATGTTCAGTTTGTGGATATCAGTGATGGCAGAAATGGTAAGTTATTCTTTTTGTGTGACTAGCATAACATATTACCATTATTCTACCTTAGGCCTGGCTTATTCAATTCATGAAAGGAAGAAGCATGAAACTGTGCCTAATTATATCTGAAGATTAAATAGCTTAGGTTATATTACATCGTTTTACATCAGGTAGTTAGGTTGTAATACGCAAAAACTAGCCCTGTAAAAGCCAAATTTTGAATAAAATAAGCAGATTCAGGGGGTGACACTTTAGCCCATCGCATTTTCTGGGGAGTGACTATTTTAACACTGATCGTTCTATTATATGCCGCTGATATATATATTTGAGTGTATGCTCATAGTATGCAATATTTGCGTAGTTTTTATTTTGGCCTCATGGTTGACCCTAGCGTGGAATTACCCCACTGTGTTTTATTATTCTCAAGCTACGACCGACGAACGTCGGTCGAATTGACTAGTGGGTGATGAAAATATTATACACATTGACATTGTGAAAATTGGTTCGGTATGCCGCGAAGATCGTGCTAACTCAAAAGTGTGCCGTGAAGTAAAAAAAAAAGGTTAAGAAGCACTGCCCTATGGGAATCAGTTTAACCGAGATAAACCTATTTCCATAGACGTCCATTATGAAAACGAATCAGTTTTAAAGTTAAACGGATCTGATGCATGTCACCCATGCGATAGCGCAACAAGGATGAAACGTGCACGCAAGGCGCCCTTGTATGCCCAGTTGCATGTAATGAAGTGGAACCGAAGGCCGAGGACAGCCGTTTCATCCAGATCGCGACTTCCTTAGTAGACAGCGACCTCGATTCCTACCGACGAGAAAGGAACCCTTTGAAGGCTTCGCACTTGTGCTCCATATATCTCCTTGAAGCAAACACAAGAAGTGTGCCAAGCACATGACAACGTTTACATGTCCGCTTCCCCCCCCCCCCCCATTGCAACTGTCATGCCTATGCAGAGAAGCAGAAGTGTATTGAAACACTCAATACTAAAAAAAAAAAAATTAGGCTGTTATTTTCCTCTGATTTCTGGTTTCACAGGCTTTCTGATTGGCTACGCAGTTTCATTGCTGTCGGGGTATCTATTATTGCCCTGATAGTAATTATAAAAAGATGTTAACTTGAACAAGGTGACATGAAGTGTTCCATCTCGTCCAGAAGCTAGACTCTATCTCCTTCATATCCCAAGAATGCATGAAAATTGGACATACTCTGAAAAACCTTCCCGAATTATCATATATCAAAGTATCATCTTGTCTCCTGATCTGCTGCTGCGGCCTTGCCTTGCCACACGCAAGAGAGTGTACCTTCGCAAGCACCCCCATCCTTAACTGAAATGCGGCGTACACCTCTAACTGAACCTTTCCTGTCTCCTGGCACATCGAACTTGTTTATACGGTTTTATAGAATCATAACACCGAAAGAAGATTAGTCCGCAGTCACCATGAATCTAATTTGAAACCAGGCCGAACAGGACGAAGAAGCATCTGCTAGGAACGGGAAAAACATTATTTTGCGACACCATTTATAAAATGTTGAACCACCGGGTGAGGCAAACAAAACGCTCCGCTCTTTGAGATTAAGTGACGCCTCTGAAACAGCAGCTATCAAAACCAAATTCTTTTCTTATACATGTCTATCCATCCATGGAACTCCCAAAAATGTCTGCCCGTTTATCTCGAGCCGTTTTTGCACACGAGTGATTTTACAAAAGCAACTGGAAGCTGACGTGAAGACCTACTTGACTAGGAATGACAATTCTTTCAAGGTTTTTTCTTCTCTCTCTCTCTACTCTTCGGAATCTGCTGAGCAGATCTCTGACTCGTCCTTGTGTCTGACAATTTGGAGACGAGAATTTCGCACCCCGGGATCACCATCTCAAGAAAAAATGACTTCTTCCACATGCACCCAGCCGCTGAACCGGTTTCTCGCAGCTTGTTTCATAACGCCTACATTTTTTTCATTCCTCGCCGGGAAAT